CAGTGGACTCTAGCCCGAGTTAGGGACACTTTTCGAAATGCCGGTTTCTGGAAAAGAAGTTGACTTCTTATTACTTCAGTGAAGGAGTAACATACGCATATCGCCTGCGAATGCGTGGTGGTGGCCAAAATGAAGTGACTGCCAATGGCGAAAGAGAGGAGCGCAAACACAAAAACGAATTGCTTAAAAATTCCAGTTGGAAGGGGGCTTCTAGCATCTCCTCTTCTTCCAAACAGAGACAGCTATCATGGTAGGACTCAAGCTGAAACATGTTTCATATCGTTTCAGGCCTGGTGCGATGTGAGTGGTATAGAAATTTGTTTTCTGTTAGAAGCTAGTTTGGGTCGTTTTCGGACATATTTATGGCGTAGCAAACAACTCGCTTAAATTAATAAGTCATAAAATATTCCAGACGTTTTGTCTGGACCTAAACTGGATAAAGCCAAATTGCGCATTTAAAATACTGACATTGGAATATGTCTTTTCCTTTTTAGCCAACTATTCGTGAAGGCGTAACCAAAATATTTGATTCTCTCAGACAACTTATTAAAATCAACGAGCTTTTTACGGATACGGAAAAAATGAAAGACGAACTGAGTGTTTTCAATGAAGATGTGAAGAATATTAGTGACAATTATAATGACACAATACCAGAACTCACCAGATTAAATACAGAGTTTAAAGATATTCATACAGAGGTGAATAGGACTCAACCTGGATTGGTGAGCAAATCATTCAGAATTATTGATTACTGACTTGACGTGTGCTTTAATTCCTTTTAGGCAGGGTTGAATTTGATTGATTTCGGTTTTGATCAAGTAAAAGTTAAGCCCATAGTCGCTAGTGCGTATATATACCAGTTTGTGGACAGATTTGTTCATTTCGCACAAGAAATGGAACCAATCAAGCAGGAATTGGACTCTATGCCAAATAATATAACAGATAAAATTAAGGATGAGTTGAACCTCACTGAGTTTTATACACAAATAGAGACACAAATTACTAGCCAAGTTGAAGACATAAAACCACAAATAAGCAATGCAGCCGATACTATCCCTCAATATATTGGAAAGGCTCAACCATATATTTCACCTGCTCTGTATGCTCTAGCAGGAATCATGATTCTGATAGCCATTGCCTTCTTCGTCTGTTTGATGCTTTTCATTGTGGAAGCTTGTCGTTTTCGCCTCTTTTCCTGCAACGGAGAAGGTCCATCAGAGCGTAAGTCATTTTCGTACTATGTTGAGGCACATTTTGGTTGAACTGGTACACGATACGAGCATTTTCTACTTCTTCTCCTTCAGTTGCAAGTATTGAGAAACTCAGGCGAAGGAGTCGAGCGTGTGGTGGGTGTCGTTTCTGCATGTGCTCCTTCCTCCTCATTTTCGTGATTATTTTTGCGATTTTGGCCGCAGTAATCTTGGTCATCAGCAGTTTCCTTGCGGCTGAGTTGTGTCCCTACGTGTGGCAGGCAAAAGGGGTCAATCAAAGTGATTACGTGTTAAATAGTTTTGTAGATCAAAATTGGCCCCCAATATCAAACGACCTGCTTGATATGCCAGCACCGAATAACGTATTGTTCGCCATCGGCAACACCTGCAAACCAACTCCATCAACCGATCCAAAACTTCTTCCCAGTATTGGAGTCAATAAAATAACCAACTTAACTAAACTTTCCGATGATCCTAACATTGTCGACAAATTTGAAGAGATGAGCAAGTAAGCACCATTTAACATTGGACTGGAATTGTATGATTCCTGTGATTCAACCTATTGATTCACCAACTTATTTAATTACGTAAAACCCCCTTTCCTCTTTCTTAACAAAGGGAAATGGCTGACCAAATCTCGACAAGTATTAAGGATCAAATTATAACTTCAATCCAGGAGTTAAGACAAATGATAGCGTTTCTTGAACAAACCCTACAAGCTGTGGAAGCTGATGTAAGGATATATGTTAAAAGAATTATTAAGTATTGTTGAAATGCAAACTACAATGTTCATCAATTACTTTTAGAAAGCTGTGGTGGAATTGGAGAAATTTACTAAAGTTACGATTAAGGAATTAAGGGAACTTCGAAGTCATGTAAATGACACTGCACAGGCCAACAAGTTGACAACTGCAATTGATGAGCTCGAAAATCTTATGCCGAAAGTTGAAAAAGTTCAAGGAGGATATAAAGGAGTGGACGCTAAGAGACAGTTACCAGCAGATTTTGAAAAATACCTCGATAAAGTCGAAGGCATTTTGACGGTACGATTTCATTACAAGATATCATTATTTTTAACTACACCTTAATATCTATCTTCCAGAGAATTTACCGAAAGTGGATCGATAATCCATAAATACATCTATTTTCGGCATATGAGGTGGAGTGATTTCACAACAGCGCCAACTGCGTCAGATCGCAGTTTTCCACATTCGTATTCACCACCTAAAACAGTGAACTAAATGGTTTATCCCTTTTTGCAAAATAAGACTCTTCCGTTTTGGTGTTCACTGGTTAGCTCCTGGCAATAATTATCTCAGTCCCAGTGGGAAGAAAGAGACAAGACAAATATGCACCCTCTTCAAGGTTAATTTATTAAATGGGCAAATAGCGTTTATAGGCTGAATTAATTAAAGACTATATTGAGAGGTGGGGGGGGGGGTTGGGGGGTTGGGAGAGAGTTGTCTACGCCAACAACCACATCATTTGTGTCGGCATGTGAATTAAAATAAATGTGTCTGACTTCTGTGTCCACCAGGAGTGGGCTTGTCACACCCGGAAAAGGTTCATAGGCTCTGGGACCCTGTGTTGTCGATTTCAATATTGTTCTAGTGAATCAATAATTCGATAACTTATTTATGCAGTCCTGTCAAACACTTTTTCCCTTTAATTCAATGGTTTGAAAGCCTAAAATTATTTTTAAAATATCTAATAGGCTTGTGTATTTCATATCTCAAAATATTTGACAAAATAAATGTTGTTATCAATTAGGTTTTATATACGCCAATTTGTATATTTTGTTAATAGGACATGAAGGATAAAAGCACTATGGAAGGAATTATGGAAAAAGATGTTTCTCCAGAAATACGGAAACTATTGATAAAGCTTTTGAAACAAGGTGATGCATCAGTGAATTCAATCCCGGAGGAAGTTCTCAACTGTGCAAGCATCCACTACATTGCGACATCACTAATTGCCACAGGGTGCTCCAACTCGGGATTGAATAGTCGCTTCTTTGGATGGGCACTCGCACTAATTCTTACCGTTCTCTTCAGTTTTCTCTCCTTCGTTGGACTTTTCAACCTCTGGTGCTTCCAGTCACATCAAATACGACGCTTCTACGGCTCATAGGCGGCAGCCTTCTACCTGTTTACGTTGACTCAATCACTTTGTCTCACTTTTGGTAAACTTATTCTATTCTGATTCAATACAAACCCAATATTTTGTTATACTCACAAGTAAAATACTTGGAAATACAGATTTTTTAGCTGATTTCACATTGTACCTACCATCACCACACTTCGTTGCTCTCAAGTTAGGCTAAACGCGTTTTATAACATAAACAAATCATATTTCTCAGGTTAATCCAACTGAGTGCATCTAAGGTAAAGACTGGCAAGGATGACAAGAGTACCTCATCCTACCAATTAACCATTGTTCAGTCACTGTCCAATTTGAGCCGTCACTCAGTTATACAAAATTCTCACGAGTGATCAACGATTCATTCATTAAATAGCATAATTTCTATTGAACTAAGTCGAATTACGCCAATACTTGAACTAAAAACATATCTACTCTATTGAGTAGGCGGAAACTGGCACCACAAATAATCGTATTCAAGTATTGGCGTAATTCGACTTAGTTCAATAGAAATTATGCTATTTA